TCCTTCACTTGGCAGGGCCATGCCTCATTAACGGCAAAGTCAGGAGAGGAAAAAGTGGTAGAGCAGGGGCAGGAAGAGGAGTCAGAGCAGGAGCAGGAACTGCCATTGCCCTGCTAATTTAATATTTATACCTTAATCAAGCCAGAGTCGCCGGAAAACCCTTTTGATGGCTCCGCAGAAAATCTGTTGATTCGTCGATAGCCAGATTGGTCCGGCCTAAGGCCGCGCGCACACTACGAGCTGAAAGCAGAGCTGAGATAAGCGAGCTGATAATTTCAGTGCAAATTTCTAAGCTCAGCTCCGCTCTCGGTGTGCGCGCTCTCATACAAGTAGTGTGTTTGTTTCAGAGAGCTAATAAGCCGTCAGCCGTCAGCTCCGCTTTCAGCTCGTAGTGTGCGCGCGGCCCAACGATGGCCAGGCGTTAATTGCTCATTTCCATGCAATGTTGTCGTTTCCCCCTGCCACTTTGCCGCCCTGCCCCCACCAATCAGTGCCCTGGTCCGATGTCCTGTCTGTCACACAAATGCGGAATCGATAGCTCGCATCTGTCACCAGACACACAAACACACACACAATGAGGCCGAGCCCCCGCTGTTCCCTGATGCCTATATGTGTGTGTGTACAGGACTTTGATTTCGTAATGAGGCAGCCGGGCTGGTTGCACCTTTGTGGCGTGTCCTGGGACAGACAAAGACGGCTCATCCTCAGCCCCGCTGATCCCCATCAGGGAAAGGGATTGGGAAAGGGAAAGGAAAATACTCAGCCATTGTGTCTTGGGCTTTGTCCGTGGCCCTGGAACTGGCTCTCGTCGGATGTGTTTTACGGCCTTGATACCCTTGATTCGCCATTTATTCCGTAGTTTATCCTTTCGTTGATTATTGCCGAGCATTTGCACCCGACTCCAGGCCCTATCCCCCCAGTAATTTCGTGGAGACTTCTGACCTTATGTGTCCTTACGCTGGCGCCCTTTGTTTGTGCTGCGCTCCTTCAATTTCCCTGCACATTTAAAAGGATTAAAAGGATATTCGTCAAACGGAAAGTTACGCAAGTTTGTTTAACGCACTTGTGGGGTCCTCTGCCGCAAAATCCTGTCTCCGGCCACTTCGTTGTGTTTTTCCACATTTGCCATTTATGTTCCTTTCTCTTTTTTTTTTTTTGGTTTTGTTTTGTTTTGTTTTCTTGGTTTTAAGGGGGAGGGGAGGAAAAGCAGACCCTTTGTTTACTCGGCCCGCTTGAAGGGCGTGCGCTCCTTAACTGGTCCTTGAATGAAACGCTTTTGGCCCTTTGTTTTCAACATTTATTTTTTAGTTCGTTCTCTTTACCACAAATATTCGTATTCTGTATGTATATTTAATATGCTGTATATCCCCTTTTCTTTTTTTCAGTGTAGTAGATTGGCCAAGCAGTAGGCGCCATAATTTGGGTTGAGTTTGTAATCGTAATTGTTGTTCTTCGCTTCAATTTTTACACGTTTTAAACTTTACACTTAGTTCTGTGACTCTGGTTAATATTCGTGGTACTTAGCGTTAGTATACTCATAATAATACACATATTCCACAGTTATTTTGCGTGTGACTTGCATAGGTTGCAGTTCTTAAATTGTATCGCTCGCTTGGTATGTCTGTATCTATAAATAAATATTACGTTTATCCCTTTATCTGTTAATCGTTTATCGTTTATCTTTAATCGAGTTCAATTTGTGTCAATTGGATTCAGTTTTATCAATAGTATAGCCACAATTCAAGCTATTCTTCTAGACAATTTCTTAGACCTTAAAACATTTTATACAATACAAATGAGGGAAATCGAAATAAGGTTGAATCCAATATCGAATACTTTAATATGCCTTTGTGCGATTATATCAATGTGTGTCCGATAAACAATGGGAACAAAAAGTTAAAGCTTTTTGTGTGGTGTAAGTGTTTTTAAAATTAATAAATAATGTCATTTTCTCTATAAATATATATATATATGTGTTTTATACACCTCTTCATCGTCGGGGCTTTCCCTTATGCCATGTTGTATACATAATTTCAATATATATCTTGTATAATTTATGCTCTTTGTTCAATACGCAATGATATGTGTGATTGGAAGATTTTGATGTGAGTGAAATGATAAAGGTAGTCGCTGTCGTCGTGCCTTTGTCCGACTTTCGACCTATCAAAATACAACATTTAAATATAATGTTCGATCGTCATAATGCCATTCCATTTCCATTGACTTGAATACGAATGCCACTGTTTTTATGGGCCTCAACAAACAATTATAGTTAAACGGCTTAAATGCCATATGCTTAGCATGAAAAATGTTAATTGGCGCGAGACTCGGCTCTCTGGCGTAGAGAAAATGTTACAACATTTATGATATGTTTTGCGAATTGCTGCCACACTTAATGTACTCTTACTCGATCTATATAAATACAAAGTTTTTACACAGATACACATTTATATATGCTCGATAGAGAGAGAGAGAGTGAGCCACAATTAGCCAGAACTTGCAAGTCCTGGCCAATTATGCACATTCATGCTGATATATGCCGAGACAACAGGACTCTCGAATGTAGACAACACGCAGTTTGCATATTTATACAGACGAGCAGACAAGTGGGAAGGGGAGTGTGTGTATGTATGACATCGAGTGGGTACTCCGGGTAACTGGTAACTGGGTCGTGTAGGCGAGTGTGAGATGTGGGGTGTGGGGTGTTTGCACTTGTTCATAGATTGGTGGGAAACATTTACTAGTACGAGTGATTCACAAACCCATAGGTGAGTGGGAAATAGCTCCCGCCACAGTTCACAAATCAAATCAAATTATTTGGAATTGAATGATGGCTGAAATTAGCATACCATAATCATAATATCGTCACTAAAACTATATACCATATATATGTACGTATATAATCTACGGTTTTGACTAAACAGAGGAGTAACTCATGGGTTAAAGCATTTCCATTTGTCGTGTATAAGTGTCAATAATTTGCTTTTGTTTCTCGTTTTCATTTTTATTTAGTTCTTAGTGCATGCAATCAGTAAATTTGCATGCATACCTATCGTAATGTATAATTTATAAATGTAATCAATTTTTTGTTTTGTTTCTGTTAATAATAGACAGCGTAGCATAGGAAGACGTCAATACCTGCATAAGACATTTTAGCCATATTTTCATACATAATATGAACTTTGTTTTCAATTACTTTCACGTGATGTCACCGTTATCATAATTAAGTATATTTCCTTTATAAAAAATGTTCTGTAGTCCGTTCAAGCATTATCCAATCGGTGTGCAGCCGTTGGAAAATGTTTCAACTGTGGCAAGATTTGCAATTTGCAGTTGTAATTGTTTTTGTTAATTGTTAATTGTCGAGTGTTGGTTTTGCTTCAACTGATTCGCACGTTCGCTCAAACTGTAGGAGAACATCGCAGGCTTAATTGTATTACTAACATTATGTTTGGTTTCGCTTTGGGTTCGGTTCGCCATCGCCGAGTAGAAGTCAAAAATAGAAGCCTAATTACACACACAATACAGACGCGACGCTCATTTAATTTTGGTTTCGTGTATATATACGGTATAGAGAGTATAGACTAGTCCACTAATTGCTTTACATATATTTACTTTGCCGGGTTGTCCGTGTTGTTGTTGTGGTTGCCGCTATCATCTTGCTTTACATAGTTACATTGTTATGCTACGTGTGTTTAAACTGCTCCTCTAGCCATAGACACTTAAAGCGCGCTCCTAAATATACATACATCCGTGCTTAGTTTTAAGCACCGCGATTTACCTTACTTAACTCCCCTAAGCGGCCGAAAAAACGCTAACGTAAACGTAAACGAAAACGAAAACAATTAATCGCAACGGCAAATATTTTCCTAACTACACACTAAACGCTCCATTGCAACGACATAACCATTTACACACATAACGAACCGAAAATAAGGGGCCGAAATGAAAATAAATAAAAATAAGCGTCGTAATGCTCGGCGGAGTGGCCCAGCCCTCTGGGTCTTAACCCTTTCCCGGGGTCACCACGCGCCGACAACTGCGCCCTTATTTGTGGCCGCCCCCCGTCTTATTGGGCGCCATTTCTCGCTCCGCCTGTCCTTTTGTTTTTTGTTGTCTTGGTTTTCTCAAAATGTTTTCAACACTGATTGTTTCTGTAAGCTTCTTGGTTTAACTGTCTAATTATTTTACATTTAAACGTTTATTTCCGGGGGTACTTTGGTACGGGGTACGGTTAGGGGTTTAGCTTGCTGCTGCTGCTGCTGGCTGGCTTTCGCTTAAATTCAATTGCCCTAATCTTAGCCTAACCCTCCTCCTCGGTTGCCACATCCCTGACTTTATCCTTATCCTTGACTGGCCGAAGCGCTACAATACCGTAAAAAATATGTCTCCTTTAATTTCGTTTTCAATTTGTGAGTTTTAAGTTTGTCCTTCGTTAGTTCCCTACTGCTGCACTGTGTAAGATCATGCATTTTAGGTACATGCTTCGTAGCGGCTGCTTTGAAACGCCTAAAAACCTTCAACCCAATCAATTCTGGCTGTTTGCATTTGGATTTCCCAGGGGGAAGCGGCTTTCGCCCAAAAACTTCTGACAAGGCCTGACCTTGAAGAGCACAAAGTTTGGTTTCTCTGTTGAGGGGCCTGAGCCCCCCTCTCTTTCTTTCTCGTGTTCAATTAGCTGTAAAAAATTATCCTTGTGCTCCAAAAAATGGCCGCTGGCCGGAAGGGAATGCTCATTCTTCTACGGAACTACGGTTCCCCTCCGCCAGCAACTTAATTACAAACATTCTTTTTGGCACTGTGGCCGCACAAACTACCAAAAAACTAGACAAGCTGAAATTCCACGGCCGCTTCCCTCGGTCATCTGCAGTTATTTACAAGTAAACTATTTAAATTGGCCGACCAAGGCGAGCAGCACAAATGCAAAAAAGTAGCATTCCCTTAATCCTTTCGCCCGGCATTGTCCTTTGTTCTCTGCCCCATTGAGCTCTCTGCTAATTTTTCTGCTAAATCGAGCTCTCTCTTGGCTTGCAAACAGATTAAAAATTTGGTATACAATTTACAAAAAAATCCAACTTGGTTTCTCCGATGCAGCTTTTGTCCTCGATGTGGATGTGGACGATGTTGATGATGATGATGTGATTGCCCTTGGATTGGCCGTAGCTCTACCTTCTACCATGCAGAGTGTGCGAGTATGTCGGTGGTCTTCTCCTCTCCCAGCTCGTTCCCAGTGTCCTGCGCTGTCCCTCTAGTAGCTCAGGGGCAGCAGAACAAGAAGCAGCAGCTGGGCCAGCGACCACAGGTGCGTCAGCACTGCCCCTCCGTGCGCCCTCCTTCCTGCGGAGGTCTCGTTGCCATGTCCATTACCGTTGCCCAGCGCAGCCATCCCGATGCTGGGCGGAGCCGTTGACGTGGAGGAGGCCACTTGGCGCTCAACCTCAACTGCAAGTAGGGGAAAAATGGGAAAATAAAGGCTTTAGAAGGTGATAAACAATGCTGGGTAATTATTCTTAGCCTGCTTCTCAGAAAAACAAAATCTAAAATGGGAAAATCACTAGACGGCCAAGGTTATACCAGTAAGGAAAGCTTCTTAAATTTTTAAAAAATAACAGGAACCTGTATATAACTTGACAACTTTCAACATTAATAGCTCGAACATCGTGGCTTAAAATAATCCACATTCATAGTAGGAGAGGTCAAGGAAAAAGGCAGAAAAAATCAATTTGAAAAGCAAAGTTGATGTTGTAAAATGAATAATTCAGGACAGTGATAAGCCCCCAAGTTATCTAGACAAAATGGTTTACCGCCGAGAACGAGGCATGAAACCGCAGGAAAGGTCGCCGCGGTGATCTGGCTGAGAGTCGTCGGGCGCTGAAAAGTTTTCGCATAAGATGGCAACAGCCCCTTAGGGCGGCATAAGAAACAATTACAGACTGGAGCATTCTCGGCTGCGAAGTGGCCCTAACAAATGACGCACTTCACGCAACATAAATAACACGCATACGCCCCTTGGTTCAAGTGACAGTTGGCAGCCACTCGGCCACTCTGGCAAACTGGGCCGCCAAAGAGGTTGTAGGTCGAAGGACGACGGACGACGGAGGAAGGACAGCCAGCGGCAACTGATGGGAAGCCAGCAACGAGCGTCATGAGTCATGGGCCTGGTAATGTGTAAATTATTTCGTACAATTCGGGACAATTTACAACAGGGCTCAACGACTTGGCTGGGACGTTAGTGTTAACAACCGGCTCGTAGGCAAACAATGCCGGCAAATATATAAATTAACCTTTGTTTAGCTCTGCTCAGCTCTCCACCCAATGAGTTGGGGCTGAGTAAATGAAAATTAAACGTAGACAAACGGAAAACATATGACACCGAGAGGCCCTTTCAAGGACGAAATATCTAATCTGCCAGTTGAGACAATGGCGCCGTTTACTTTTGTTTAAAATTCCTCGTTGGCTTTGGCTTTGCTGACAGGGAAAACAACAATGCGCTCTTCCCAACATTATCATACTAATTTATTTTGTGAAAATTCATCCGTGATTCCATCATACATTTCATAATTTTGTGGCGTCGAGGACGTTTTTTTGATGAGCTCACGGGTCGTAATTTCAGCCGACGCGTACCGAAACAAATATTTGCCTTGCATAGCATTACACGACATAAAATAAATAAAGTAAATATGCACAGACATACATCCAGTGCCCATGTAGGCGCAGAGATTCATGCAAATCACGCATACGCCCCGAGCGCCGAGATAATATGAGTTCTAAATTCAAGAGTGTGACCTCGAAAATCTGAACAGAACCTTTTTTCTTTAATTATTTATATAGTTTTAATTATAGAATATTAAATATAGATAGTACCAACCTTTCACGGAGTACGTCTTGTAGTCGGCGTACTGCTCGCCCTGTCCCACTGTAGCTGGAATGGTGGACAGGCAGGTGATCTCCATGCGTCCATTGCTGCCCACATGCTCCTCGGTGAGCTCTATGTTCAGCTGACTGATGCTAAACATGCCCTTCTCCTGCTGGGCAGCGGTCACAGCAGCCGCTGCCGCCGCAACACCGCTGCCGCCGCCAGGATGCGAGAGCGGTCGCTGGTAGCCCGCCGCCAGCTGGTTCATGGGACCGGCATTGGAGGGAATGCCCAGCTCCTTGTTCATGTTGGGCGCCTGTGGGCCGAAGCCGCCGCTGTTCAGGGTGCTGCGAATGATGCCCAGGGCGTTCTCGTTTATGTGGCGCCGGTACTTGCGGTTGCTGTTCCTGGAATAAAGAGCGAGAGGACTTCATTGAGTGGTGGGAAATTGGGTGTGGGTCTGGGTTTAATGTGCCTGCGCCCGGCAATTTGCACACAAATAAAACCGTAAATATTTGCATTTTATGATTGATGTGTGTAAACGTGGAAAGCAAAACACTGGGAGCTTCCACATGCCGGGCACGCACATCTGATTCCCAAAACGAAGCCGAAACAGTGTTGCCAATGCGAAATTGATCAACTTGAAATACAGGAAAAATAATGTGAAATATTCTATAGTATGTTTCTTTTTTTATAAAATATTTTATACATTTTTAAACAAGTTTCATCAATAAAATAATATATATTTGATAACTAAATCCCATTTAAAAACCGACAGCACTGTTGCTGGAACCTTGTTAAATGGATTCAAGAGCCGTCTTCATTTTCAGCTCAGAGCAGAGTCCTGAGTAATTGATAACCGAACAACAAACTTCACCACTCTGAATGGCCCAAGGATTCTGCGAGGAGGCTCATTCGGTTTTCAGGGAAAAAAAATACACAGGAAAGTGTGAGATTATCGAGCAGCTGGGCCTTTTCTGCTGATTGGCAACGCTTTCTAATGGTTATCCTGCATTACGGCCTGATTAGTTTGCATTATTCAGCCGACGGCATTCAACTCGTATCGCACATTGTGAGTCTAATTAGCTTTTACGACTTTGCTTCATATTTGATAAGAAGCCTGAACGGCATACAAATGAACTTGCCTGCGGGCCCTGTGGCTTTGGGGGGGTGGCCTCAGGATATACTACATTAGGATATATGTGTACCGTATTCAGATCCCATCCCCTGTAATTACCTCGACATGTTCGGCGATATGTTGCTTTATTACAAATGCAAAATGACAGCGAAATTACCAGAACCAGCGGCAGATACACCTGATACTTGAGCAAATAATGGTGAGGCCGTAAAGTTTAATGCCGGCAAACCCATTGTCAGCTGTGTTGGTTAGTGGAAGAGCCTTGAAATCTGTGGGAAAGAGCTAACTTCCGTCTCATTTTGAGCAATTATTCCATTTGCATAGCTCTCGTCCTTGGCAGGGTCTTGACTGCCTGCTTATGCAAATGGAATTTGAATGCCCTGAAATTTTGACAGAATTGTATTTAAATATTATTTAGCTTAAAGTGCAGCGAGGGCTGCACGAGTGTGAGCTCGAATAAGGGTCCTGGGATACGAAGGATACTGTTGCCGCAGGCTCTCGTACAGATAAGGCAAGGTGTCAGCAAAAAGTTGCTTTTCCCAGGGAGTGTTTGCTTCTCATTCAATCCCCTTAAAAGTGTATATAGGAGAGCGAGTATGTTTCAGTCTGCTATGGCCTCGGCTTCGGCTTCCTGCGTTGTGCAACTGGAGCTCTTGGCATCTAGGGGGAAAATGGGCGAATGCCATGCAAATTTTAAGGCCACAAGGCGACTCTCGGATGCGCTGCAGAGGAGAAGAGTTCTTCATAATGGGAATATAACCCCGAAAAAAGGAATTTCCATTATGGTTTTCAAGTGAAATATAATTTGATTTGCCATAAGGAAATGTCCAAAAATGCTGCAAGTTGAATATAAGTTGAATATAAGTTCCTTGAGATCTAGAGACACTAGAATAATACTTAAACAATGTCCTTAAATAGTACCTCCGTTCCGAGTGCGAAAATAAACACTTCTTCTAGTGTCCAGGGTACAAAGTGCAAACCTTTGCACGCATACAGGACAAACAAAGGCTTGGCAAGGGTAGTAGGGGAAGGAAAAGAAGACCCTCCTGGAGAACTTAAACAATATCGAGTGGCAGCCAGGCAGTTACCGACAGACAAACAGCAGTGGCATGAGTAGTAAGCCAGTTAAGACGGGAAGCAAACAAATGCGGGACAAAACTCTGAGCAAATGCACAATATCCGCATAAGCCTTCGACAGCTCTGCTGGTCCAACTGGCTTTGGGCTGATGACAGGACCCGAAGAGCAGATGGAGGAGCTGAAATAGAGGAGCCCGAGGGGGCAAAACAGAGGTGGAGAGCAGCTGCAGCCGGGGCATCATCAACGGAGCTGTTGTTACTGCGATGCTGCTCCAGTTGTCTTAATAAAATTCCTTATGCAGCGCACTTTTCGCAGGAAACGCTGCCACCGGTAGTTGAGGCAACAACATGGCAACGAGCCAGGACCAAGGAGCCAGGACCGAGCAGCAAAGCTGGGACAACAGCATCAGCACCCGTGGCAGGAAGCTCAAGTTCAAAACATAACAAACTTGCCGAGCAATTCAAATCAGACGGAAATGCGGGCCCCGGTGTACGCTACTGAAAGGGTATATATACAATTTATATATATGTATATGGTATACAGTGTATATAGTGTGTGTCCTGTCTGTTAGTTATGAAACTGCTGGCTGGCATGACACTTTAAATTCCTTAGCCTTGGCTACGCAACATCTTAACTCGCCGCTGACATGCAAAAGCGCCTTCTGGTCCGGAGGGCCACACCGCCCCCAGGCGATAATTTGAGAAATGCGCTTAATTAATTGATAAGTCATGTAGTTTCTTTGGGGCATGCCACCACTCTTCCGCCCGAGCCGGGCGGGCTGCGCAAAATTTATGTGTCTCTGGGCCGCAAAAACCGCAGCCTAATTTCGTCTGCCAACGCAGGCCAACGAGCTGAAGGCGTCGACGCCAACGCACCAAAACCTATTAGCAATTTATGATAGATACAGCAGACCATTCCGGGACTCGAGCTGAGCCTGTGCTGCTTAACTTGGTAATTTTCCCGACAAATTTAGCTTTTTCTAGGCACTTTTGTATTAAATTTGTGAGTCGATAAATATTTAACATCTTTTACAATAATAGTATACGTTAATTTATCAATTAATGACTTAATAAAATATATAAAGGAATTATGAAATAGTTTTTAAGTCAGAATTTATAAACCCTAATATTCTGACCTAATTCGAAGATGTCCTTTTGGGCAAAGAACTATCAAATATAGAAAAGGGAGCTACCTTTAGCATTCCCTTCATCCTTTCTGACCAAAAACTGACAGCACTAAAAGGGACAAAACACCATGATTTCCAATCCGGGGGAGACCATCTACCCACTTAGACTGAAACAAGCAAAGTAACTTAAGTGGGCGCTAGGGCTACGTGCAAAACCATGAATTTCTTATGGCCCTGCCATGCACAAAACAAAAAGAGGTCCTGAAATCGGAAACCGGAACTTGGGTGAGCCGCAACTTGGCAACAACAAGGCGAAAGGCAAAGAAACCAAACAGATTACCAGCAAAACTTTTGGCTAGCTTAACTTGGCCATGCCGACGCTGTTGGCCGAAATCAAAGTATTTTCCCCCGAAAAACCCGGCAGCAAAAAACTCGCTCCTGCTGCCGCCCGCAAATTACATGGCGCAACGCATGCAAATTTCTCTGGCAAGTAATTGCCCGGGGCGAGCTAATTTGTATTAACTATTCAGGGGTGTAAAATGTTTCGTCATCGGCAATGCAAGCGATGCCAAGTCGATGTCGATCTAACAAGTGTCTAACTTACGGCTCAAATGCGCGCGCGCACAGAAGACCGCTGTGAAAATAACTTTAAAACTGGGTTAGCCAAAGTCGCGTAACTCGTACACTGAGCTTAAAGTGGGTATTAACTGTAAGCTTAAGTGAAGAAATTTTTACTTATTATTGATATACGATACTGTTTCGATATTTTCCACATTTATTAGATATTTTAGGGCTGTTTGATTTATTAAAATAATTTTAAAAATCCTACTTTCCAATTTTTTCCGTAGTGCAACCTGGCAGGAAACTCCACCGCTACCAAGATTGCCACCACGAACCACCGAGCGAACGTAACTGACAACGGCAACTGGTACGCGTGTGAAATTATAACTGACAGCAGAGCTTCTTTTGTTGTCGCTGACTCGACCTGGCATGCGGTTCATTGAATAATTTATGCACTATAAAGTGGCACCGACCTCCCCATATCCTGCCTCTGTCTTTCGTGGCTGGCACAAAGTACTGAGGGTATAGAGTACAAAATACCAGACAGACGACACCTGAAATGGGAACGCGATGTTTTGGCGTGCAATCGCATGCGTGTTCTGCCAAATAGTTCATTAAATGCCCCTGTAACTATTTATGCTGCCAACAGCATTTTCCAGCTGGGCTGGCCAACCTAATTAGGGGTCAAACCAAACGGAAAATGGTTCATTATGGGAGCAGCGCGTCGTTTATCATTTACCCACTCAATTAGGGGAAACAATTTGATAAAATTTAGTTTAAATCAAATTATTACAAAGTAGTTCGATGGACGTCACACATGTTGCACGCGACAGTCGGGGCCGAAAAGTTGCCGCAGGAAAACCGCTCGTAATTGGCTTAATTGGGCATTTATCGTCAATCACCGAGTTGCATGTTCATGTTTGACTTGAAAAATGCATATTTTCGCAATTAACTTGATTGCATTTCCATGGCAAAGGCCGCAGGACCCTGCCGTTCCTTCGGCATAACGAATCAGCAGTCAGGAATCGGAGCTAAGTTCATTACCGGCAGAGCACACACACACACAGTTTGACAGACATTGCTGAACCGCCGGAAAGTATGCCCCGCAGCTGGGGTATCTCACGGCCCATTGGGCAATCAATGAATGAATGAACCTCTCGCATATCAAATTCCAAAACAATAAATGTTATCATAAATGCCTGATAATATGCAAGCGATACACAAAACAAAAAAATAATAACAATATTCAAATAAAGCGAAACCCGAAACCACCGAATACCGCGACTTCATTTGCATAAATAGGTTTTTTTGTGTTTAGCCCTTTTGTTAGTGCATATTTACGAAATAGTTTACTGATTTTGACCATAAACTAGCCTCGGACAGCGGATACAGTGGACAGTCGTTGCGGTCGTCATCCGATTAGCATATGATTTGCGATCCCGCATAGCCTGTCTCCACTGCGTGATATATTGACCGTTTTAATTAGCTCCCAGTCTGGCAAATCATTCCCAGAATGCTGTTGATTTTGTAATTGATTTGTTTTCACCCACTCTGGTTGTTTTTGTTATTAATTAAATATGACTAGCTATGCTAATGGCCTGGCATTGCTCCACTTAAGTGGCGATTATTTTTGGCCTACCAAACCTCCGATTCCGTTGCCAGTTTGGTGTTTTTGCATTTCGTTGGCAACAGCGAAAATTGGCAAACCGTTTTGAATTTATGCTAACTAATGCTGGCGGATACAGTTTCAGCCTCAGCCTCAGGCTCTTGCGTTTTGCAATGGCCCTCGTTTGGGCTATCAACGGCATCGACTACACCCGCCGTCAAAATCTGCATCTTATTGGTGGCGTCTGTCCGCGTATATAAACCGCCCTCTTCCAGATGGGCTGCAGCATTAGCAGTTCACACCTCCCAAAGTGACCAGCACGTTGACAGATTCGAACGGAAATTGGCTAGAAAAGCAGTCATCAATATGCGTGGATTTATGGTGAGTTGAAAGGGAATAAGGAAATAGCTGAAAAATATCGCAGAAAAACTAATGGAGCTTCAAAATAAAAAACTTGCTTTGGACAATTGATTTTAAATTATTTTAATTTAATTTTTATTTCTCCAGATCTTGGCTGTCTTGGCAGTGGCACGTGCCGATGTGGGTGGCTACAATTATGGAGCAGGCATTGGTGGCTCCAGCACTGGAGGTTCTCTCTCCGGTGGCTCTATCTCTGGAGGTTCTATCTCTGGAGGTTCTATCTCTGGAGGTTCTATCTCTGGAGGCTCCATCTCAGGAGGCTCCATCTCCGGAGGCTCCCTCTCCGGCGGCTCCCTAACCAGCGGATCCTACTCCAACGATTATGCCCCCGTCAACACAGAGTTCAACAAGGAATTCTTCACCTACACCGCTCCTGAAGCCGATTTTGAGGACAACAAGAGCGTCAGCGACCTGGCTGCCTCTTTGAAGAAGAACCTGCGAGTGGTCTTCATTCGTGCTCCAGAGAACAAGGGTCTGGAGAACGCCGCTTTAGCCCTGGCCAAGCAGGCTGCCGAGCAGCAGACCGCCATCTATGTCCTCACCAAGCAGGGTGACCTCTCTAGCCTGGCCAACCAACTGCAAAACCTGAACCATGTAAGCGCTAGCAAGCCGGAGGTGCACTTTGTCAAGTACCGCACTCAGGAGGATGCCCTCAATGCGCAGCGCACCATTCAGCAGGAGTACGAGCGTCTGGGTGGATCCTCCACCTCTCACAATGGAGGCGTGGCTCCTGTCCTGGACTTTGCCACCAAGCAGCAGGTGCAGCACCACCATCAGCAGCAGCAGCAGCAGCAACAGGTGCAGCTGATCGATGAGCGTAGGGCTAGCATCAGTTCCTCATCCGCTGGAGTTGTCTCCGCCGAGCTGGAGGCACCCTCCGCTGGCTACATCCCTCCTGCCGCTGCTGCCCCCAGCTCCACCTACCTGCCCGTGAACAAGGTCAAGTAGGAGGACCCGCCATCATCGTCATATATGTTACAAACTAGCCAAATTGTGTTGCACACTTCGCCTTAAGTGCTGCGTTATAAAATAGAATTTTAATTTAATGTATACTCGATGTGTTTTTGTGGCTGTACCGAGATTAATGGGGCTCGTCCTGTCCAGCAGCGTCTCGTGGCCACCGCTATCGGTCGGCACTTAGCCGGACCTGGGCTTGCAATTAAAACTAAAAGCGCATTGGCATTGGACGGGCTTAAAACTTGCCGTAAATTTAAGTGAGCCCGAGTCCGTTGCCATTATGGCCGCGGTTTATGGCACGTCAACGGCGACCAGCGTTGACCCGCCCTTAAAGGATTACCGGCACACACGCGATGTGGGGCACCAGGACGCGGCTAATTACCGCCACAGAGCCAATTTCGGGCAGTCGCGACATTTAAGGGCCGCCCTTTTGAGGGTCAAGTCGGCGGCAGCGGTGGTAATTTGGTCTTGGCCAAGGGAAACCCACACTGAAAATTAAATGAAAATTGCTGGCTGCATTTATTTCGTCCTTTGTTTCCCCAGAATTCCAGCGACCAGAAAACCCAAAAGTGCTTTGTTTTGTGTTTAGCGGAGAGGTCGACATTCCTTAGAATAATCTAAAAAGCTATTCCAGTTGCAGCCAAGTGGCAAGATTGTTGCACTGCGGCTGCCAGGAATCCTGCCAGCGAGCGCTTATTAAAGAGGCGTTTCCTGTGGCCGCTTTAAGCTGCCGTTTGTTGGCTTTTTGGATTGCCTTTCGGATATATGCTATCGTGTCGTGTGTGTGCCTAGGTGTGTTGCTGGGCTCTCGGCACAAAGGAAGTGTGCAAAGGGCAAGCAAGTTGCCGGAATAAAAGCCAGGTTGGAGCTAGACGCAGACAAGGACCTTCAGACCTGGCCAACATTTAGTTTTGCCAGCTCTCTGCCGGCGTGGGCCTGCCACAAAAGGCCTTACGTGTTGCACAAACATAAATTGTGCAACAACGTGTAAACTACTTTTTGACTGCACGGTAGGGCGCTCCCGTCCCAGTTGCCATGTCCTTGCTAAGCCCATTCCGAGCCATCTCACTCTCAAAGACGTGGAGTGAAATCGGAAGACTTGATACCCTTCCGGCGAGTTGAATAATTAAGAAACATGAGGAAGTGCGATTAAATCAAACTTAATTTTGAATAAGCGCTGTTTTCTAAAATAAAAATATAATAAAGACAGACCCTAAAAATACTATTTTCTTTCTAAAAACTAGGGTATAAATGTTTCAGCTTCCGGAACTCTTGATATTCCCATTCCCCTGGCAAGTGTTCACTCAGCGCTACGTGTTATGGCCTTTAGAGCCGTGCAACGTCTGCTGTTGCTCGTTGTTTCGTCTGCCTGCCATTCGGTTTTGTTCTTCTTTTTGTTTTTTTTTCCTTTCATGTTGCTGTTTAAAGGGTCTTCAAGTCCTTTTCCCTTTCCCTACACAATAGAAACAAAAATGATGTGAAAGGCAAACAAAACGTAAGAGTGCGGCAATATGAAAGCTTTCTGCTGTTCCGGCTTTCGAGGGCCACTTGTCAGTCTGTCAGCAGGCCGTTCACTAATCACGTTAAGCGGTTAATTACTTCCCAGGGCTCATGTCACAGGACACACCGACTACTACCTACCTGGCCACAAATACACACTCGTCCGACCTATACTCAATATTTTATGCCCGGCCCCATAAATCCTGCAAGGTCGCTAAGCTCGGTTACACTCGTAAAAATATTTTACTTTGTGTGAAATCACCTTGGGGTTGTGATAACAATGATGAAGCGCATTTATTGCTTCAGGAAGATCGTTTGCCCTGGAATTTATTCATTATAATTTTTACAAGTTTTGGGGGTAACACAAACAGGTTTTGGCTTTTAAAAATATATTTTCGTTTTAATACAGATATAAAAGCATGAATATTAAACCGTTGAAGTTGAGTTAAAACCTTCAGGAATACAAAAAGGTAATTTTCTTCATTTCTCTCAGCAGAAAGTGTGCATATTTCTGCTCTTCAACTCCCTTTCAATATACTCCAGAACGAAACTCAATAATTTCCAAGAAATATGCCAATAAACAAGGGCGAAAAAATCACGTTCCTCTGAGTGTAGGGCAAAAGGGCGAAGGGCCTGACATTAGCATTGCATTTGCATAAAATAACATGAATATTTTTGCCACACCCCCGCACAACCCACTCACATACACATACGTGCGGTGCACAAACTTAATAAACAGCGCAGTTTATTCCACGCCTGGCCAAGCAACTCATGCACAACTACCCACACACAGAGAAAGAGAGGCCAAGGAATTTATGCACATTGGCATGCACATAAACGCTGGCAGTTACTGGTTATTGTTGCACCGCTCCTTGTCCATGCTACCCACCCACCTACGCCCAGTTATTTGTTATTGTTGCCGCCTTTGTTTTGCCTTTGCCTGCTGCATGTGCACTTTTTAGTCCTCGGCTACATAAATATGCAACGCTTATCACATGGTTTTATGGCAGAAGGGGCTTCCATTTACTCGTGATGGGTTAGGGGCTGAAATCACGCCCACATAAGGCCATAACTGAAGCCCGTCTACAGGTGTCTGGCCTGGCCAGCAGAGGGGATAACTATTACCTTGGCAAGCATTTGTTCATGAGCTTAAAGCACCTGTAACTCTAGATAAATATTTTTAATATTTGTTATGGTTTTGATCCTTGGATAAATTTTTTTTTTTATTTATTTATAAGAGTTTGTATTTAACCAGGCTATCGCCTTGCAGCAGGTCAGTACCTTCTACTCCCCACATTTTCCTCGAAACTTCTTTTTGCCTTCAAAATAAAAAGCTGAAGCTACAGCTCAAGCTTATGCTTATGCTGAGCGTTAGCGCGTCCTGCGCTTTGAATATAAATTATTTCTTATTGCCATTGGGCTCTCAATGAAATTAGTTCCCCCACTGCAGGACTGCAGGACTGCCTCTTACAGCTTTCCCACTCATTCTGAATTGTGGGAAATTATTTATAAAATAGTTTTCGAGTGCTACCGCCTGTGCTTCTTACCCGGCGGTAAATGCAATTAGCATTCGCTGATTACCCGGCAAGGAAATGGCACGAGTGTAAATTATGGTTTTTACTTTATGGCAAATTAACCAAGTGAGCTTATTTCGCACACACATGCGCGGCTGCTGCCAACTTTTTAGCGGCCATAAACTCCGCGTTCTACGGAGGCTGAATTCGAAACTTTTTCGGCTTATGTAAATGCGAAAGCAAAGCGGCGAGTAACCGAGTCTTGAAATGGCAAATTCATTTGCCAATTACCAAGAGCCGTGACATTTTAACTGGTCCTTTTTTAGAAAGTTGGCCATAATCTGTCAACGGAAGTGGCTTACATCTAAAGAAAAAATGGTATTAAGAGGGAAACTTATGATTAAGGAAACAAAGGGTGAACTTGGGAGAATAATTTACAACAAAGAACTATTTTAAATATGAAGTATGTTAATTCTTTTATTTTCTAAAAAGTTCTTTTTAAAGAAAATCGTTTTCTTCAGTGCAGGCCACAGCTCTGGTGCACAGCTTGCATGCCCAATTGCTGTCCGGCTGTCAGGCACTCAACATGGTATTTTAGTGCTCTGCACTCAGGTGGTTCCAAGACCTGGATCCGGGACCCGGGACTCAGGAACACTTCTATTTCAAAGTCAAAGCCCCCCAACTCCAGGCCCCCGAGACGTGCCACGTGGCGTATGTGCAATATGCCGACTTCAAAGAGCAACCACTTCGTGGAAGCGCCAAGCGAGTCGTGGCTTTCATTAAGCTGACACCACACCACAGGCCCACTCCACTCTGAGCCACTCTGGGCCACTCTGGGGCACTCCCTTCTTAGCCGGGATCATATATATATACTTATATACAAGTAGTACACAGCCACGTTTCCACTTTCTTTCGACCCGCACCAAGTGGGGGCCAAAAGTTGTTATATTGGAAAAGTTTCTCTGCTTGATTTTTAATATCACAGGTGAACGTAAATAATTTATTGCATTCATTTACGTTTCACATCCAATCGCGCCACGTAAAGATTTCGAAAAAGCAACGGCAAGGTTAGGGGGTGGCCACAAAATTTATTTATGCGTTATACAACAAAAGCCAAGCAGGCAAAGACGCCAGCCAGCCAGCCAGCTAGCCAGGTTAGCCCGCCAGCCAGGCAACAATGTGCCAACAGCCATTGGCTTTAGCCAGGGCAAAATCCTTTTTGACCATAGATAAGGAAACTTTAATAAACACGCCACACACGCAACCTGGGAAATTGATAAGAATATGAAAAGTTTGCGCCCGGCGGAGGAAAACTTTTCAAGCCACCGGACCCAGACACCAAGGACCCTGGCTGGTGGCTGGAACTTACAGCTTTTTAATTCATATAACTCATAAATACAGTTCACCGAGCAGCCCTTATTAATGGTCCTGCTACCTGGACTTACCTGTGCTTCTTCAGTTCCATTTGCTGCTGCTTCTTGATCTCCAGCTTCTTGTTGATGTCGTAGTTACGCTGGTGAACCTCATGGAACTCGCCCACGTCGTGATAGTTGGCCAGGGATCCGAAGGGATTGTTGTAGATGCTGCCGCCGCCATGGTGGCCGTGTCCTTCGTGGTGATGTGACACAAAGTGCGGGAACTCATCTGCAGAGCCAAAGGAAAAACAGCAAACATGAGAGGAAGCAATGGAAATGGCGTTAGCAACCAAACTAATTAACGTAAATGCTGCAGTGGCAGTCCATCATTTGGAGCTCAAACAGCAGTGCCCAAATGTCCCATCAGTCGATGGTGCTTCACAGCTTGTTGGCTGTCAAAGGCAGACAGACACTGAGATCAATTTTTGGGAATATATTTAAAGGTATTCCCAGTTTTATTTATTTAGAAATTATAGAAACCTCTTTCAACAGAAAATATCTACTATTTAATAGGTCGATTATAGTCTTCAGTTAGCTTTAAAATATCCAGATTTTATGGTCGATTTTTTCAATCTTCGATTTCCCCTATTTCTCCCAGTGCCTTGTGCTTTACTCACCCGCTCTTGCTCCGGCTGGCCAGCGTAGGCTCTTGTCGTAGCGGTCCATAAATTGGCCGACAGGGATGTGGTACTGCTGATGGTACTGGTTATAGTACTGTTGCTGGTAGAACTGCTGCTGCAGCTGCTGCTGACTCAGCTGCGTCTGCTGCTGCTGCTGCGTGCGGCGCTGGTGCTTCCCATTGAAGGAGAACACGTGGTGGGTGCGCACGTACTTGTCCTCCACCTGCCGAGAAACACAAAGGATCCCCCAATGAGTCAGAGAGTGGAGTGGTTACTGGGATGCTGATGATGAGGGCACTCGGCAACAATTACAATGAGCTGTGCACAAAAGTCACTTCAATGTCAAAGCCTCCGCTTCAGCTCCGACTCCCTTCTGGCCGGCTGGAATTAAATATGAACCAGATCCACATCTGCTGCCCACGCGGACGCACACTGCACTCGAACCGGAGCTGCTGCCTGGGGCCGCGTTTATGAATAAATTTCATTTTAGAGTTTTCCCACATATATAAAAACCCCTCCCCCGCCCAGCCGCCACTGGCAGTCATAATAAATTTATTTAAATTCATTTCCTCTCGCCAGCGACAGCATCTGGCTCTGGGCGGCTTGCAATTAAAATGAGCGAGCTGCCCGACCGACCGCCCCATGTAGGCCATAATTATGAAATGGCTTAAACTGATGTTAATCTCAATGCCCAGCCACATTCCACATCCCCAGGCAGTCGTTGGGAGTGCATTATCCCACTGATTAACCTGATGCCCGGCGGCGGTTTTCGCACATAGACGTTTCGTAAATAATCCAATGAAAATTGGCTCTGATTACCAACAGACAGTGCTGGCGGTTCTGTTTGTATTTTGTGGATAAAAGTGACTATATTTAAACAGTTTGTTTAATTAGTAACAAAATTAATAACAGATTTATTTTATTTTAAACTAAAATTTCAGTAGGAATTTTTAGGAAAGCTATAAGTAAAATACTTGATTATAAATTAGTTTAAATAACTTCAAAAACAATTCAAATAACAAGCTAATTTGAGTAAAATTAAACCCTCAATTGATTTTATATCTCTTAAATTTTTTATTCACTTTAAATCTCCTTTTCTGTTTCACTGTTGAGTACTCAGCACTGTCACAAACAATGTTCGAATGCTTGCGCAATCGAATTGCGAATTGTGGATTGTGGATTGCCGAATTGCCAATTGCTGAATTGGTCGTTTCAAATATCACGCATACGCACCTTTTTCCCATTGATTAGCCACGTAATGTGGGGGGCGGGGCGTCCGCGGGTGGTGTTGCACAGGGCGAAAAGTTTCTCGCCCACCGCGAAGGGCGTTCGCTTGCGAAACTTAATGGTGGGCGGGCCCGTCTGCGGCACTGTGGAGGGAAGATACGAAGAACCATAATTAGAGTGGGGCCAGGTGTAAATAGCCGAGATAATTGTTACGCACGGAACACGCTCATGAGCTCGTCGGCGCTGGCCTTGGTGAAAATGGGTGTATCCGTGGAGACCTCGCAGTAGAACTGGCCGGATAGATCGAACTGGACATCCTTCAGCGTCACCTGCTGCTCGTTGGAGTTGTCCCACTGTTAAATGTTAATTGTTAATTGCAAGGAGGAGCCGGAGGAGAGAGAAAAATGCACAAGGATTAGAGTGGTGGACACCGAATGCTCATTAGCGAATCAATGGAGCTGCACAGGAAGTGTCTACCAATTAGCTGCAATTTACCATGGACTATAGACCACTCGGCCGTGCCTAATCCGAGGACAATTACTGGCCGTGGACTGACAGACGGTAATGATGATTGAGCAAATAAGTGGCCCAAACGGGGTACTTACGTCAATTTCGGCTCCCTCGATGGTGGAATTCCGGAACGGCGGATTCCGTCCGTTTATGAATTCGAAGAACTTGCCCTTGTCAACCTTCAGCCATGTCACCTGCAAAACAAAAGACATATTTACCAATATTAAAAGGACTCCATATGTTCAACCTCCCACCCGCCCATCGATCTCGTCTGCCAATTGCCCTCTCTGTCTCTGTTTCTGACAGTGATTGAATGTGTCAGTTCTGATGGCCGGATCAGTTAATGGCGCAACGCCGGATTATTAAATCGCCTCAATTGCGCAATACGTTGCGCAATCGAGGGTCCCCTCTCTCTCTCCTGTCCCTCCTTGTTGCCCCAACTCCCTGCCGGGCAAAGCAATTTAAGTTGGCAACAAGTTGCAGGGAAACAAACGGAAAATGGAAAACGGAAAACGGGTAAAACTGAAACTGAATGATGCTGCTGCTTCGCCAAGTTGTTAGCGCGTTAAACTGTAAAACAGTAAATAATAAAATGTTTTTATTGGAATGACTGTAGCTGCGGCAGTGGCAGCAACACGAAGGGAGTGCCACAGGACGCATGTCACCCCAGCAATTAAAAGCACAAATCCACAAAAGCAACTTGCAGAACGCGGTAGTTGTGTGTGGGTTTTTTTGAGGGACGGGGCCTGCGACAACGACAAATATGAATAATGAAAATGGAAATTAATTTTCATGCGCAAGTTTTCCCACATTCAACTTAAAACTAGCTCGGAAAAGGGCCGGATGTTCAGCGGCTCTTGTCGACATTTTTTAATTACTCCCAGCATTTATTTATTATGCATATTTTTTAACGCCCGCATTTGGTGAGCTTATTTTAATCACATTTCAGCGCGTTATTTGAGCTCCAGATTAAAGTTGAAAAGTAATTTATTTTTCCTTGCGGAGAGACAGGTCTCTCTGACCGCATTTTCATTTTTTATTTACCATGAAAGGGGAGCTTTCTGCTGGAAATTCTTCATGGTTTTTGTACTCTTTTCACTGACTTAATACTCATTGAATTCGAATGTTTAAAGTTATAAGCTGATGACAGTTTTCAAGAGTCTTAGAAATACTATTATTTGTGGCAGGATATTGACCAGGTCCACGATGAGTTTCGCATTAAAGTAGCAAGCTAATTGATTTCTCATTTGATAAACAGAACTCTTTAAAGGGAATTTCCTTAAGGATTTAAATATTCCTAACAACTAAGCTCATATCAGCTTATAATCATTGTAATTATATTTTCTCTGCCAGAGCATTGCACTAAATACACCTGTCCAGGCAATAGTGCCAGGTCGACGGACTCAGGCACTCCACGTGTTGCCTGGACGTCTGCTGATGGCTTGATTGACACGCTCCCAAACAAATTGCATTGATTGCACGCAACTTAATAATATTAATATGCTTATTGAATGTGTCCGCGGCAGGCGAGGCGTATGCGTAATTTGTGCCGCAAATGTTGCCATTACTCAAGCCTGCGACGCAGAACGTGTGTGTTTAGCGGGAGTGTGTGCATGTATATGTGCTGTGCGGGTCAATCAATAAAGGCCACACACACAGGGTAATAATGAGAGGGCAAACACAAACACCGGGAGGCCAAAGAGAAGTGGCCTGTGGGTTTGGAAACGAGCGGCCATTAGCGCTCTCTCTAGGACCGCCAGACACGCATCAAATTTTATCAACCACTTGTGGTCGTTTCAAACATTTTCCCTCGACTTGACATGCAACTCCCTATCGGCCGTAATATTGCCAATGGATCTGAAAGTAATGAAAACAAAGGTCCCTTCACACTCCTGCCACTCTTCTGGCAGCCCTTCCACTCCAAATATTTACCTTTACGAACTTAGCCTGGCATGTGTTTGCTTTTGGCGTGTCTGCCTGTGACTGTGCCTGGGCCTGGGCCTGGGTCTGGGCCTGACTTTATTTCTTTTGCCTTTTGGCTCTTTGTTTATATTTGGGCTTATTAGCCCGTCCGCCCGCATGTGAGGCACCATGTGGGATGTCACAAATAATACACAAAAGCTGAAAAGTGGTGGTAAATCAAAAGCTCATTAATGCGCTCTCGGGGCCCCGATTGCGGTACCGATTCGCAGGCTCACTTCGTAATTAGTTTATTTAATTTGAATGTGTGAGCGAGTGTAATTTTTGGGGCGAAAAAAAAAATGAACACAAAATTATGCCTTACATGTGGAGGAGGCGGGCGACATGATCCCGTCACTGGGACTTTAATTGCCTTTTTAGTGCCACTTCCACACAATTTGCCACGCTCCGTGCAACAATCCGAATGGCGAATGGCGAATGGCGGCGGGCGAGCGAGCGCACTCGCTTATATAGTTAATTATACTAATTAGCTATCGCCCCGGCGGCCACAACCCGACTGGACTGGCCAAATAAATAAATGTCTACATCTGCGCGGAGCCCCGGCTGACTCTGTTTGGCTATTTGGTTATTTGGTTAGTCCGCTAATTGTGCATGTTTCCCGCCCCGGAACACATTTCACATTTGCCCGGCTCAGTGGCGCATTAAATTTGTTAGTTGACACTCTTAGGAGGCGGTGGAGGAGGAGCACTACCCTCGAATTTCCATGCAAATGAGACACCACAATGGCGGCTTTAAGTTGTCCCGGGTCACGATCCGGAGACACGACATGGAATTTCGTGTTCTCTCTGCCTTCTCGGACGTCGAATAACAATGGACACCACTCCGCTTATAAGTACAATCCACCTCAATCCACCCCAGTCCCGCAGTGTCAACGTCAATTCGTTTGTGTTCTAAATCCATCTTAGTTCCACGAAAAAAATAATCAATATATGTACGGCTAATGTTGGCCAGGCCACCGCTCCGCTGTCCTCCTTCATGAGCCATAAAATTTGTACGCTTTTTTTATGGTACTTAGACCGAACAAAACGTCAACCTAGAGGAGCTTGAGCCTCCGACCTTGGTCCGGAATGGGAATGCCCACTGGAGCGGTGTGAATAGTGCTGGCCACAAAAGTTCACAACTAAATTGAAAGTATGCCCTGTAATTCCCTTACTCGGTCAAGTTTTCTGGGCACTGAAAGAAATTATAAATCAATTTGGCACACAAATTTGCATTATTTTCCTACGAATTTAAATGAAGTAACTTTTTAATTGTTTGAAATATACATTTCTCTCTCTGATTTTTCTTTGAATTTGTGTTATTTTTCTGTGTACTTCAAGTACTTCGTATGTTGGCCATAAATTCTATGGCCAAACTCTAGGATTGGCCATGATTTTGGCGTACGCAAGTGCGTGTCTGGCGATGTTTCGTGATGGAATTAAGTAAACTGAAGTGAAATTAATTGCCGCGTCTGGGAAACAGAAACCTAGACCGAGACCGAGACCGTTACCGATACCGAAACTAAGACTTAGACTGAGACTTGAGTCGATATTGAGACGGAAGCGGTAAAAGGTTTACGGCCCACCTCGGCCGCTTCGATGGAGCGGAATGGCACTTTGAGTGCAACTTTTTTGCAGCCCGGGGTCTGGGGCTGGGCTGCCTTTGACTGCCACAAAGTTGCGGCACGAAACTTGCTGAAATACCCGGCTCCTGCCCGGGGGATCCGGCCGTGGTCTGGTTGTGTTTGTCACAGTGCCGGAAACTTTCTGCCCACAAAATAGCACAAGGCGAGCGAGCGAGCGAGCAAACTTTCTTTGTGCTCGGCAATTTTTATTTTTCAATTTAAAGTTTTTAATGCGCTTTCCATAATTTATATGCGCATGCATGGCTGGCTGCGAAACGGACTTAATCCAATCCCCGCTGCCACTTACCTTGAACAGGATCTCCGGCTGGACGTTGTGCCTGCACTTGAACGTGGCGCTGGAACCGCGCTCCACATATCTGGGGACCACTAATTGCACCTCCACATCCGATTGTCCATCTGCGGGTGGAAAGGATACACAAATATAAGTACAGCTGGCGGGTGGGAAGGGGGCAAACAAAAGAGCAATAACAATGAAAATCACCGCCCGTCCAATTGTGGCTTAATTGAAAAACCATTAAAACGCTTCACCAAATGAAAAGAAATCGAAAGAGGAAATTGAAAAGCTCACTTCAGTGCCAAATATGCAGGCCATTTAAAGTGTGGCCCTCGAGGAATTTCCAGGGGAAAAACGAACTCACGATGCCCCATGCGTGGAGCAGATACTCCTGCCAGATTACGGGACATCGTCCTTTGGCCCCGGCTCAATAAATCTTAATTTGTTTGCCAAAGTGCACATGAGAAATTTCTGCGCCTGCATGCTACCCAGGTCCCAGGGATGAGTGCGTCTGGGTGTCAAATATTTGCAGCTCCTCCTTGCCACCATTTTTCACCACCGAGGAAGAGCCTCGACCAGAGGTCCTTCGCTACCGTTTAAACGATATTTTCCCAAGCATTTTTCCCCAGCCAGCACGTACACCAGCAAGGTGGTGAGCTTTATCCAAAAAAAAAAAATGGAAAATTTATATTTGTCCGCAGTTTACACACGTGGCTGACCATCCAGCTGGGCTCATGCTGCGTATACGTAATGCCGGCACTTGGTACGCTCGACAGTTGATGACATTTAGTATGTGTTCAGGCCAAACAACAAGGACGTTAAATGAAGTCGTTTTTCGGTGATTTTGTAGGCAAATAAAATAACATTTTGCTGAATACTTTGCATATGCTGAGGCTGGGCTAGAAATTGTGTGAGCAAGGAGGTTTTATAAAACATTAAAGTAAGCATTTGTGTCTTTTTAGGCAAACAAGAGGTGGTACCACAAATATGTACAATATTCTCTTTAATAAAGTTCTAAAAGTTCTTTTAAAATAAACATTTAAGGCCGGAAAATTGTGAATCTAAGAATTCTCCTTGAAAATTTCAGCAATTTCATCAATTGACTCTCCCATTAAATACTTTGTAAATGACTCCTATTTTGGCAATCGATAAATGAATTTTGAATGTGCCTGGGCCAGTGGCAGTGCTTCCGCCCCGTTCGCAATCATAATTAAGACATAAAGTGGCCGAGGGCAAACACATTGCCCCAGTTGGAGGGAAGGCCTATCCAATGGCGCCAATTTCGCTTCCATTTTCATTTATTCACACCACGCGTCCATCGTCAGTCACGCAAAATGTCAACGACTGAGTAAGTAAAAAACGTGTCTGACAGCGCGAAAAATATGGAAATAATCGGATAACCAAAAACGAAGAGCGAGGAGCGAGAAGCAAGAGAACAAAACCCAATGAAATGAAGCGTGTCAAGTGTGCATATACATATATACGTTCGATGCGAATGTTGGCAACTTGTTGCCGCCATACATGGCATAAACATGGCCAACCTTCAGCGGCCCGGTTTCGTAGCCCCCAGCATGACGTACGTGTTCGTGCCGCACGCTAACGAGCCGAAATTTGCGAAAATTCAATCATGACCCCGGCCGGCCAAGAGCAAGACCAGGACGAAGACATGGCCCAAAAACCCAGACCGCAGCCACCAGCCAGCCGCAGGCTTGGCAAAAGCGGTAGGAGAAGGCATCAGGAGAAGGCATCAGTCCGCAGGCCAACAGGAGAAACGCTGTCAGGCACCAGACACCGCCACTGTCTGAAGGGCCAAGGAACTGCACTTGGAGAAAATCGAATTTAATTTTTCTAGCTATAAAACCTTCTTCAATGGAACATGACTTAAGGAACTTAGTAAAAAAATTGTAATTAACGAATGTAGATTTATAATAAAATTGGTGATTTATCGATGTAAGTGAGAGGAAGATCGTAATGATATATTGGCAAGATATATTGATGAAAAGCACATTACACGTTTAAGTATTTATTTAGATATCGATCTTAGTGCTATTTTATGTCATTTTTTTATACATAAATCCATTTGAAGTTGATCTAGAAATTAATTCAATTTTAATTAATTTGAATTTCCACTCCAAACCCCTTTTTCCATCGAAATCCTTCAAGTGTACTCCGACTTTTTGGTAGCTTCTGGCTTTATAATCTTGTCGGGTTTTTTCGACATTAATGTCGCAATACTACACGTCATTCTTTAGCCCTGGCAGCTGGCCAATACACAGCCGTTGAGGAGAACAAACGAAAAGCGGCAAAACGAATAACGAATTTGAACTGCACGACCGCTGACAAGATGCTCGGCTTGGCAGCCGCAATTATGCTGCGTTGACTGCCAGCCAGGCGACGGGCGCAAAACAGAAAAAAAAATTCATTACTAACTCTGGCAAAAAGGATCTACTCCGGCTCCTCGTCAGCCTCCTCCTGCCCCTCCTCTCTGTGTTGTGCAACAAGCTTGGCAGGCAGGAGGCTTTACTTTTCCACCACTCACTGGATGGATGGTTGGAAAAAGCGCTTCGCTGCTCGCCTTGTGCTTTTTTACAAGCGGAAATTGATGATTTTCCACGGGCTGAGCGACAATAAAGCGTGCATCATGTCAGAAAAACGCAAATAATCAATCAATCAACATTAATCAACGCTGTGTCCCGGGACAGGCCGAAAGTGGGCAACTGTTGCAGGCGCGGGGGCGTGGTCTTCGATTTGACTTTAACAACTGGATTAGGCCTCGAGGGAAATTGATATTTATCGCCAGCTGCACAGAGAACCACAAACTCAATTCGGTTCTGTATAGATTTCAAGTGCTTTGGAAGAGATTCATCGCCTGGAACTTTATTGGTTTCCATATTCATTTCGATTTTCTGATTGCCATCGCCCCCACCTTAAAGTCCTTCATTAGACAAACTTGCTGGCACACAGGTGTTCCAAAATACACATGGCGAACCGCAAACCGAAAGCATAATAAATGTTCCCTCCACCCTTTACACTTTCTCCTGAAGCCTGCATTCCAATTCCAACTTAAACTGCTGACCACAAGCCACTGACCACGGCCAAGGAGTTTGGGCACGAGTTTTCCGAGTTCTCTATTCAATTCTATATGGCATTCAGAGCCATGATTAATGAACAAACTATTAAAGTCAATAATTGTTTGCCGCTTGATAATTTAAGAGCTATAACTGTACAAATGATTGATTGTCCAGGGAGACAATAATTAAAGAACCCCTTTTATTGGTGGTCAACTTTATTCCGGTAATTGTCATTAAGCAATATAAAATAATAATAGTAAGCCATTAAACCATCAGATATAAACAGCATGAACTGCGTCCGTTTATTGCGAAATCAATATTGACAGGGAATCGATGGATGGCTTTAAATTCAATTACAATTGTTACCAATTATTAATTTTTTTTGTTAATTTTCCAAAGCGGAAATTCGTATTGAGTATAAAGAATTAATTAGGGTTTTTAAACAATTGGAAATCAGAAATATATAATATGGTTTTGTAATCAATACTCACTCATTTAAGATATGATATTAAGAAAAATTTAAAATATATTTCGGCTGCCCCAAACAAAAACATTAGCTTATTAGAGCATTACTTTTAAGCTTTTTATAATCTTGTAAATTTATTTTATTGTATTTTTTCATACCAGAAATATGATTTCTTTACAACTTCAAACACTCATTTGATGAATTTCACTCTGTTTATCTTATTACTTTTCCAAAATGTCTTTTAAAATGGCATTACCCCATAAGTATTATTGCTTTGATAGATGTTCCAGCATTTTGCCACTGACAGCGCAATAATAATATCGACTTGGGGTCAGCTGTCTTGGCCCGTCCAGCTGTCAGTTCCGTCTCCGCCGCTTTCTCCGTCTCCGCCTCCAGCTCCCCAGTGGCCCAATGGCTCGGAGTCATTATGGCTGAGTGGCAGACAATACTCGTAGCCGGCACATTCCATGGAGTTCATTAGACACGGACAGCTGCCAAGGCGGCCTGGACTGGGAGTCGCCATCCTAGTCCTGTCACCTAGCCCCCAACTCTGGCTTTTCAAAACTGATTTCCTGTCCTCATTACGGCTGTTTGTCCGGGGATCGGACTCCGAGGCCGAGGCCGAGGCCGAGGCCAGGGCGTGACTGTCAATAATTTTCAACGTGCAATACCTTATCCGTCGGGGGTGGCCGTCTCTGCCATTTTCTAATTGATTTGTGGCCATGTGGCTTTCCAATTTAAATGCACGCTTGATTGGGACTCGTGACTGGCTGCTGCCTGCCCGACTGGCAGCACAATGTTTTTAAAGTTGACCGCACACAAAGCCAACATTTTCCTAGCCATGGCAACGGAAACACTATCAGCAACATAAGCCAAACAATAAAACGCAAACACCCGGCATTTACCCACTCTCGAGGGCCACCGAAAAGGATAAGGCCATAAGTCGTTATGCTGCCGAGGCGTTCGCTCAGAAAGCGTAAGCACGGGCTTTGGTCCTGGCTCCTGGCCTCGTTTCGGAAGGGGATTCTGGCGAAAACAAAGGCCAAAATAAAAGGCAGACAAGGTCCGACGGGCATGTTCGAGGCATAAAGTAATTTTATAGAACAAATCACAGGCATTAGCGGATATAAATCCAGTTTATCCCTGTGCCAGTGTATGCGCGCGTGAAATTCAAATAACTCGGCCGAAAAGAGACGCCGCCTGAGGCACGCAACATTGGTGGGACAAAGAAAAATGGCCGATTGTGGCCTGCGGAGGGTCCTTGAGCTGCCTTGAGCCGGGTGTGTAATTCCAGATCCCCACTAGCTACAACCAGCTCAAGCTACATGCATGTAAAACTCCCAACCCATCCAGGGAAAGATGAGCATTTTTCCGGGGAGACAAATCGCCTGCGTCACAGCTGAAAAAACTTCCTGAGATACTCAAACTTTAACAGCTTTAAAGGAGACATTTTAAAAAGGAAATTTTCCCCTCATCACACACAAGTACAATCTTTTATTTCGTAATTTTCACTTGCACATTTTAGTCACATTTCTGAAATTAAATCACAGCCGAATGCCGCTGCCATGAATGGGAATCAAAATCA